GTTCCTCCCGCTGCCAGGCTCGACTAGGTGAGGAACGAAGGAGAGAAATCCCTCCCCTTTAAATAGGAGGTGGTGAGCCTCTATTAAGGGAAATAAATTTTAATTTTTGTATTTATTTAATATAAATTATTTTCATTTAATATACTAACAAATATGATATCATCATATTTGGAATACTTAATAGTTATTTCCTTAATTCATATCAACAAACAAGGAAGTAGATTAAGATTTCCTAAATTATGATGGCAAGTAAGGAAAACAAAATTTAAATCTCAATCTCAAATATTTGATTTGATTACAATTCTAATGGACCAAAGACATCCATATCCAATCTAATAAGGCAGTAGAAATCGCTCCATTTAAGCAAATTGTACTTACTGCTTCTATATCGCTACTAACAGATAATACATTTGATTCTAATGATAGAGGTCTGCTATTATAAGAATATTAGAAACATCATACAAATGAGTATAATTAGATTGGAGTGAATCAAAATGGATGCTTATCCAATACGACTCAAAAAAATTGCATGAAAATAATAACCAAGTCGATCATACATTGCTGTTAAATTGGTGGATTCCAATAACAAATTGCTTTAATATTTAGGTGGAATCAATTAACATTGTTTTTGTATTCGAGAAAAAGGTTTGTGCAAAGAAAGAGGATTTAACAAACAGATATGGTATGAGGATAGCTGGTTATTCCAGTCTTACCATTAGACTAATCTTGCATCGGTAGAGGAAATGATATCATTAGAGCTGCATCGTCCATCACATTATTGGAGGGAGAAAGGAAAGCTTAGTTAACATCTAATCAGAGTAGTGCATCCTGACAACCATAGCATATTAGCAGAGAGAGAGAGAGGTCTGTGAATCTTGCAGGAGATCTCTTAGCCTGGGTGGTCATTATTGTTGTTTTACTTGGTCGATTGAGTTAGCTTTTCGCTGAAGTCCCATAGCCTTTTCGCCAGTGTTTCATCTTTGGCCCAGTAACTCGGCATCTCCTCGTTGCAGTCAATGAAGTACTTTCCGGTCACACCCTTGAGGCTCGGATGCAGTGCAACATAGCATGTGGTAGCTGCTCCCTGCATTGATGCCATGATTGCTGAGTTATAGTAACTATAAAAAGATGCTACTTTGAATTCCCCAATTTTTACTTGGCAAGCAATGCTTGTCGACCACACTTGTTTTTGCACCATGAAAGCCTCTTTCCATGCATTTCAATATCTAGAAAAGGGCATATCTAAGCATGGAGTGGAGGTTATTAACTATCTGAGAGAACCCTAATGTCATTACGAACTGTTGCATACCTGAGGCACATTCTTCCAGAAGACGTACGTGAATAGTTTCAGCAGCCCTGCAAGCAAACAAGTTTCAAGTCTTGAGTTCAAAACTCACACAAACAAACTAGGAGGAGGATGCTGATGCTTCTGATAGCAGCATCGGGTTTGAAGGTTGAAGGAACAAACACATCTGAAGAAACGAATGTCTCATCAGGTTTGTCATGATCAGCCCAGGATGAATGGAGTTTACTGTTATATTTGCTCCGTCTTCCTGTTGTCAACACCATAACGTGCATCAAATTTAAACACAGCAACATCACAAGCCATGATAGATACGAAACAACGCATAAACTTCAAAAGGTTTAGATGGCTTCATTTTGATGTGCTTGGATTCTCGGCGGGTGTGGCGACTGTGAGATGGAACAGCGGAGGACCAGAATATTGTGTTTGTCACAATAACTTGTTGATTAGGTGGAAAGGTAACAGTTGCTATCAACTCCAAAGTAGAGAATTTAGAATCAACTGTCCCGATTTGGTGTATATGTAATCTCGAGTACCTGCAGGCGTCTGGAGAGCTCATTAGCATGCAAGATGTTGGCCAGTTTGGATTGCCCGTATGCCTTTTTGTCCGAGTAGCTGCCAAACAACAAGCCAACATTTCGATCGATCACCATCGACACAGTTTTTCTCAGGCACTCTACATGCCAAACCGGTAATAAATACTATCTATCTTACGTATCCTTGTCGTTGAGCTTATCGAACCGTATCACTTCTTCGTATCTATGCAGCAAGTGAGCTATGGATGACAGATTCACAATACGACCTTCGATTCCCGTCTCCTCGGCCGTGCTCTTCATCCTCTCGAGAAGAAGATTTGTCAGCAGGAAGTGGCCTGTGAGTAAAAGAGCACTCACTCGCTTCAATTCAACTCATTGTAACTTCACTGAGGAGTCACAAGTCGAAGCTCTCATTTACCTAGATGATTGGTGGCGAACTGCAGCTCTATCCCATCCTCCGAGAGTTGGAAAGGGCAGAACATGACGCCGGCATTGTTTCTGCAAACAAGTGCGAGAGGCACAACTCATTCAGGTACGTGATGAGGTACGTATGACTCTCTGTGAGGAACTTATCGATACATTAAGATGTTGAGGGGCAGATCCATCGAGAGGAATTGGCCTGCGAAGGCTCGCACGGACTTGAGTGAGCTGAGATCCAGCTTTAAGATGTCAACTCTGGCCAATGGAGAGCTCTGCAGGATGAGCTGCTTCACGTCATCGGCGGCTTCCATGTTCCTTCCTGCGATGATAACGTGGGCTCCTCGGAGAGCAAAGACGCGCGCGGTCTCTGCTCCAATCCCGCTTGCACCCCCTGGATCGCAGGAAGAGCAGCCATGAAGGCTAAAGACGAAGAGCAGTTCGAGGAAGAGGGAAGGACAAACCGGTGATGACGACGGTGAGATGGGAAGCGTCGATGCCGTCGGTGACCTGCTCGGCGGTGGAGGCGGATCCGAACCCGCTTGGCCCCGGCAGACCCGTCACCAGCCTGAAGAGCCCCATGCTGTCTTCGCCCACCACGAAATACGAGCAGCACAAGCGTCGCAGGACGGAGACAAGAGGAGGAAGAGAAGGACGAGCGAGGGTCGCGATGCGTGCCCGAGAAGAGACGGGAGGAGGGAGAGGTTAACTGCGATTCACGAGCGTATTGTAGCGTTTATGGACTGCGGGTCGAGTTAATGCGCTCTGGTGGGAGACGTGATGGGAAAGAGACAGGGTGCGTGAGACCAGGAATTCGTACGATAACCCACTTGGCTACCCCTCTCGTGATTGGACAAGGACATGGTCGCATTTCCATTCACGTGACAGTTAGAGGACGGAGTCAGCAGTGAGTGCGTCTACGTCCTTCTGTATCTGATTTTAACACATGTTGGGTGTAGTAGCCCTTACGAGGTTCATTTGATTAATAATTAGAGTACTAATCGATATTAATATCCTTTAAATTTTTTGTTTATAAAGAAATAAAACAGATATTTTTTCAATATTATGTATTAATTCAAACTACTCTGTATTTTTCATGTGGAATATTTAATATTTGTAGGAATATAAATATATTACTTTTAAAATATATAAGGATGCATACGCAATGAATACAACCGCACTCGTGAACTCTACTTTCTGTACCCGTTAAAACGCCCACCCGTGTTTTACCCACCCGCCGTAACGACAGGGATGGCGCGTGGGTCCCACACGTGCGGACTCTAAGTACGGCTACTGTGTGCTGAAGCGTCTCAGACCGTGTTTCCAACTGTGCGGAAATTAATATTATTAGGTTACGAAAATAAGAAAAAAAGAAAAAAAAAATGGAGGGCTGTGATTGGTCCCCAGAGTGGGGTCACGGCAATCTGAGTCCATTGACTTGAATCTCAACCGTCCATTATGTAAGCCGACACGCCTGCGTGGAGCCCAACAGGAGAATTAGAATTATGAGGGTAATTAGAATTACCTTCTTAATTACTACTTATCTATATTCTTTTTTTATTACATAAAAAGTAGGAATGATTGTATTAGTGCTACGTGTCCCGTTCTTTAAGAATAACAGAGATGACTGCCATTCATTATGAGGTACTTTGGGGGTGAAATATTTTAATATACTAATGCTATTAAAATTTTATATATAATTTATATATATGTAAAATTTTATTACGTATAATAATAATTAGTTATATATCTCATGACATATCATTTTCAATTATATATCTCATCGTTCACATTTAGATTTATTTGATTTTATTTATAGTCGATAGCCCTCGTTATCGTCCATATCAATGTAGCTATAATCTTTCTCATAAGTATAATATTTAATAATTTGATATACGACTTTATAACTCAATAATGATTGATTATTTTAATTCTTATTCATCTTAACGATTATCTATCACGTTATAAAAAAGGACCTCCAGAGAAGATCCTTAATTTAACCTATTTTTATATTATAGATGATCTATCAATTTCCTTACCTTTTAGATATTCAACTTTTAACGAGTTTAGGTGTTCGAACCGTTAATCCGAATCGTTAGGTTTATCATTATCCATGTGTAAATCCACGAGGAACAGATTAGTTGAAATGATTAAGAACAATAAATGGATATTAGTGGTTTGCATGTCACACAAAAAATATTTATCCACGTATTATTATTCACACATGACACTATTAGCATGATCAGTATCAAGTGGAGTTTACAATTAAGAGAGAAGGTCTTTGTTAGTCTGCATGCAAATTTACATATGTTGCTCATTTTTTTTTCTTTTAAATAATAAAATCATTTTTCTTTGGTAAATAATAATATAAATTTCTTGTGTTAATCCCAGGATAACTCCAATTTGATGAGGGTTGGATGTAGTGTCAGCTTAATCAATTTGATTATTTTTTCGAGGACACCAAACTCCCATAACACAGGCTTAAATAGTCTCAAAAGAGATCATCCTAAATTACAACAAGTGTGCAAGATCCAATTCAAAATACATTTAGACCTACAAAGCCCTTGAGAAGAATCAACATAATTAGTCCTTGTGTTTATGTATTTGTCTTTTATCTTATATTACTATTACATTTATAACCATTTGATTTCACATATAACAAGTTGAAATAATTAGATGACAATCTCATTTTTCTAGTGTTTTCTTTTCCTTGATTCTTCATTTATTCATTCCACTACACATCACACTTCCATTCTCCATATGACTACATTATTAAGAACCAACTGTATACCATCTTTCTATTAGTCTCTTTCATACTCATAGCACACTTCCATTCTCTATAAATAATAAACATAATAAAAATAATAATAATAAATAAATATTTTTCCCTCATGTGTCTTCAATGTCTGATTCTCTTCTACAGGATGTTGGTTGACAAGCCACTGTAAAGTGCTATAATTGCTGAGAGTAAAGACACAAGGATATAAATGGTTGAGTCCTCATCTGCATCATCTGCTTAAACCATCCACAGTAGTCTACTTGATGTCTCCACCCTCCATAATTAGTATTTTGATCAAGTACAGCTGTGAAGTATTTATTGTCTTCTGCCTCACTTCATGCACATTCATTTTAAAGTGTTAGGGTTTTTTTTTGGGAAAATAAAAAATTTTGAAGTATTGTTATTTATTCTATTATAAGAATCTATATGATGTACTGTCTCTATTTGAGGAGTCTTGATTTTCCATGATTTCATTATCAAATTTATTATCTTTTTTTCTAGAGATTTATTTATTTATTTTGTTAAGTATAATATTTCTGATTTTAATCGGATCTAAAACAACTCAATTTAATTAGGTATGATCATTATTTATTATAAAGGCTAATATAATTCTGAATCTAATCCTACTATGATGCCTCTGATATATATAGTAACGGTTCTATATACCATGATGTGTCTTATGATCCGATTCAAGATAATAATTTTCTATTTGAACTCTCGGTATATCAATTATCATGCTGGGTCAGATAATTGATCTATTAACTTATTGAACTTAAATTATTATCTTAAAAATATTTAAGTTTAAATTAATAAAAATATATATAGAGTATGAGTCAATCCAAGTCTTTACCCACTTCCGATATGAAATTAAATGTGTCATATAATCCACACACATATGTTTGATCCAACAAAAGATATACAAGAGTAGCATACGTTTGATCCAACAAAAGAAGGACAAGAGTAAAGATTCTTACTTATTTAGATGGTGAAATGAATTGTAAAAAATTCCCATCTCCTTTTTTAATTTTGTTCTATATCCATTACATCTAATGTTATTAAGAAGATAACTTTGCAATACCAAAGATTAACAAACAAAACACAAATTAAAAATTTGACATGGTATCAATGAAAAAAATAAAAATCAAATCAAGGAATCTTAAGTTTGACCCAACCAATCTCTTAACCTCTACATACAAGTACCGAAGGTTTTTTTTCCCTCAGATAAAAATATTTCTATACTTTTGTGAGAGCAAAGACTTTGACACAAAAAGAATAATTCAGATAATTAATAATCAAAACACAATCCTAAAAATTAGTCGACGTAATATGTATGTGGTTTAACACTATCAAGCTTTTCATTATGCGAGAGAGAACTTTAAATTTTTCAAAGTCAACCCAAACTCAAGCATAATTATCACTCACCAAACTCTATAAGAGAGAAGCCTAAATCCTTCACCATCACATATATTTTTTATTGGGTATTTACAAAATAATAGAATCTTAATTTCTAGAACATCTCTCGTAAAAGTCTTCATGTAACTACCATTCTTCGAGGAGAGGAGTGTTAATGCTTCTGATGTTTTCCAGGAGGAGTAATCCTGTAATAGCTAATCTGCAGTGCTATCACTGTGGTACTGCTTCCATTTTTATGGTTTCCAAGGACACCATAACATAATAACAGTAGTTGAATGACTTTAATGCCATCAACATTATTGGTTTAGACTTTAAAGAGATGGTTGCATAAAGATTGTTCTACTACATGCATTGCATGTGTATGTACAAAGATGTGGGGAACATTTTCATAATATCTATTGCAGCCGTACAACTATAGGAATGAATGAATTCAGTTTTTCATTTGAAAATCATATTTATTTTCACATTAATTAACGAGTACAAGAACCATGTGTTTATAAATCTTTAGTGTTGTCCTTGTCTCAAAGATATTTTTGGAGCGTATCCAAAAAGATAAAATAGTACGAAATCATCCAAATCGAATAATTTTTCATAAATCTTTATGCTTGTATGAATGATGATAAAATATTAACTTATCAGAATGATATTAGAAGGATGGTCATGAACCCTCGGCTCTCCTATCATAGGCACGGATAAGAGCATTTAGTCTTACATTTATTAAGGAATAGAAAAATTATAAACCTCTACCGTCATCTTTTATCTTTAGAGGTATCTTTTTTAGGCTCATCCCAAAATAATAAAATTATAAACCTCTTCTCGATGATGATAAGATGTTGACTTTCTTCTAAGCAATCTTAGATAATACAATGCATTTTTACTAGCTAAACAAGAAGGGGTGAGCAGGGCGTTGGTATTTTCAAGAGGGTAATTGATCTACTTTGTGTATAGTTAATTTTGTAAAAGATATATTTGGACTTGTAGATTACTCAAGTAAATTTTATTAATCACATGGTTTTAGATAAAATAATCAATATATATGATATCTCAATTTGTTTGAAGAGAAATCTTACTTTGGACATTTTTATTTTATTTTTATTAATACATATAGATTGTCGACCGATGAATCAGTCTGATTGATTTACTATCGAAAGTGCAGGTCTCTTCTGATGATTCTTCTTGATTGACGTGGAGAGATATAACATCCCTCATTTTTAAAAATTTTGTAAGTGCTTATTTGTAATATAGGGACCTAAATGTAAATCTTAACAATTGGATATGATTTATAAAAGATTTATATTAAATTTAAAAAAAACGGAGGACATGTGTCACTAGCTAACCTAAGGATGGTGCCACCTATGTTTGTTCTATGGATGACTACTAAGGTTCTTTCATGCATACTTGCCACCTTGCAATCCTTATATTAGCCAAACCTAATGCAATTAGAGGAGAAACTAAAGGAGAACTTAACAAAAAAGCGGCAATCAGCGTATATTTGAGAAGAGAAATGACGAGGATTTGAAATAGAGGAAGAAGAAGCTTTGCTTTGGCTTGAGGTTTTACATCAATTCCACACATTTTAGACTCAAAATTTTCTAAGGCAAGTATTTTAACCCCTTCCTATAGAAATCTTGATATCTGATTTTAGTTTAATTCTAAAAAAATTAGAAGATTTTGGCTTCGTATATGATATTTCTGTCATTTGGGAATAAAACTATAAATTTAAATTTTTTTGAGATTTGACCATTTTGTATTTTAATAGCCATAACTTTCTGCATTGATTTTTGATTTAGAAGAAACCAAATTTATCCAAAAATAGATTCATAGCTCTTTCTTTTGATACTAAGATTGATAATTTTGGAGTTCAATTACCTATCAAACTGTTATTTTAACTGACCCTATGAAATCTGTAAAACAGAGACTGTTGGTTCTGACCTTTTAGTACTCTTTTGCTTATAACTCTATGTTGGAAACTCTTATTTATGAAAAATATAATTTATGAGAAACTAGACTCATAAATCTTTCTGTACATATCTGATTTGAATGATTTAGAGTATAAATGCCTATTGAAGTATCAGTTCTAATCAATTCTATGAATTCTACAAAACAGAAAAATTATTCTCTGACCTTTGATTACTAAACTATTGATAACTCCATGTTAGAAATCCAATTCATATAAAAATTGAATTATCTAAAACTAGATTGATACATCTTTCAAATGACACCTATATTGTATAAATTGGAGCATAATTGGTGATTCAAATAGTTCATGAAATATGCCTATCAAATTCAACTATAATCGAGTTTTCATCGATTTAGCCTATTCTTGTTTCATCTCTTTGGAAATTGATTTCAACTAAAATCCTTACTTCGATTGAGCTTTACATTATTACTTCAAATTCCTGCATACTCTTGTCCTACAAGTATTTGGATACCTGAATTTGTAAACTTTATGTTTGTATCGTAATATTTCGTATAGGCACATGCATTCCGTTGTTCCACATGTGTTTCTGATATGTGTCAATTTTATTATTCACAATATTCTTTTATACTCTGACGTTTGTGGGATTATTTGGACCTTCGCCAAAAATGAAAATGGATTATTTGAATCTTTGCAAGAAATGGTAAAGGGATTATCTGAACCTTTGCCAGAAATGGTAAAGGATATGTGCCTAGAGCCTACGATACTCTAGATTATATTTGAGATTCCACTTCACCTTCAATATGTTTGATATGATATTCAGAGCTTTGGTTGTATGCTTCTATGTATGCTTTGGATAAGAATGAAATGAATACAACATCAAATACGAAATTTGAGCTTATGTTTCGTATTTATTCTTTGATATGTTCCTAAATGCTTCTTATACCTCCGAAATGTTCATATGCCATCAATACGTTTTAAAATATTCTATATGTCATTAATATACTCCAAAATATTTCATAGGTCATTGATATACTCCAAAATATTTTATTTATTATTAATATACTCCGAAACATTTCATGCACCGTTGATATACTCCGAAATGTTTCATATGTCATTGATATGTTGCGAAATATTTCATATGCCATTTATATGCTCTAAAATATTTCATTGATATACCATTGATATGCCCCAAAATGCTCCTTACACCATTGATATACTCCAATTAGTCTTTACTCACTTGTTATGAATAAAACATACTTCGAATTAAATGACATTGTAATTCTGCATTCGTTGAGTGGCTATCTATAAACTCTTGTATCCCTATCTTATATTTAATATCTTATTTATTTTAAACTGTCCTCTTTCATCATGGATATGTTAGTCGCTTACTTACTGAGCTCTATATGCTTACTTTGTTGCTATATAAATTTTTCATGATAGTTTTTCGCTCGCTAAAATGTTTAAATTGGGCTGAGGTAGTGGAAAGCTAGAAGATTTTGGGCAAACCTTTAGTGGATGATATGTTTTTGTTGTATAAGTATACTTGGTGTCTAATGAAATATTGATGGTAAATATAAACTTATGGATTTTGTAAAAGTTTAAAGGACCTCTCACATTTAGGATTTTAGAGTGTTAAGTTTAATTTGTGTAATGATACGAACATGTGGTAAATATTGATTTTTGTGATTGTATAGAATACCATACTTGTGGATTTATGAGGTGGTTATTGTCTTGGTGAGTTGGCTTTGGATTTTATGATTCATCGAGTAATGTGGTATATGATTTTAAACTACACAGGTTTTATGAATTGTGAAATTATAGATGTGAATAAATTGAATAATTTCTCAGTGTCCTTAAATATGTGTTTGGATCTTGGATTATTGTCAAAATCTTAATATTGCCGATTTAAGATGAGTTCATGCTTCATGAATGTGAAAATTCAGGGGGGCACGACAAGAGTAAACGTTACAGGAAGGATAAAGAAATCTATAGAGAGAGGCGGTTCATCGAGAGCGGCTTAGTCTTAGAGCGGTGAAGCATGATTGGAGAGGTGGGCATTCATTGTTGGGTAGCCTCCTGGTCGTGCCTCCGGGCTGCGTCGACGATCTTGCATAACAAGCCTGAGCCAGGGGTGTCTCGGCTCGACCCATTCGATGCTTACGTCAGAAAACCAAAGAGGGAGGAAGACAATAGTATCAATAGTGTAAATGAGAAAGTAAAGAGCATTTTTTTGCTTGGTTGCCTTAGCTTGGCCCGAGGCTTGGCGTTTATACTTAGGCACTGGGTAGAGCAAATGAGTCTCTGTCAAGTACTCCTTTACCTTTAGTGGAGGAAGCATTTAATGCGGGCAATTTACTGGCATATACCCCAAGAAGTGATGCCTAGGGACTATCAGGGTGATGCCTTCGATTTGGTTGCCTTACTTCTTTGGGTGAAGTAGGGCGTTGTTCCTTCGTTGTCTATTCGGAAAGGAAGGCTAGTGAGGCAGCGTCATGTCACCGACCATTAATGCAGAATCAGATTCTTTTTCCCAATTGCAGGAACGGTGAGAAGTATCTGACACCTTCGTTTGGCTTCCTTGCTTCTTTGGGTTAGGCAGGGCATGGTCCCTTCGTCAGTCTTCTGGAAGGGAAGGCCGAGGAGGCTAGGTCACGCCGCCGACCATTAATGTGAAATCAAATTCTCTTCTCCAACTACGAGATCGATGAGTATGTCTCATGAGCCTATTTCGAGAAGCCGACGGAAGCGACAAAACGACATGATCTTTTGCTGGTGATTGTAGGGAGTAGATAGTTCTTGAGCTTTTACTTAGGTATTATTTACGTGACGGGTGAGTTGAGGAGTATCGAAATTATCCCTATTAATTTTTATATTGATCTTTATATACTCAATGTTTGAATTAATATAATTACTTTCTCTTTTAAAAAAGAGAGAAAAGATAGTGCAAGCGTTAATATCCCCTTACATCTTACATTCATCCTTTCTAATAACCTTTATGTTATAATTATTTTTTAATCAGACTCAAAATTTTGTAAGATACCATTTTTTGATAGTTATATTCGATATCTTAATAAAAAGGTATATCATTTGAATAATACTCATTGGTTATAATTTTTTTGCACTTTTTATACCATATAAAATAGAATCTTAAATAACTCTAATTCATAATTTATATATTAAAAAATATTTTCCCTCTTATATTTTATTTCTTAACTATCTTTTTAGTTTTGTTTTGCTACTTGATTTGCTTAAAGAGGTTAAGTGAAATCATTTTACGAGCAGGCTTGCATCAAGAATATTACCAGTTGAACTTTAGGATAAAAATTTTGATCAATCACACATATATGATAAAATTTGAGTATTTTCTTAAAATTTATCTTTAAAATTATTATTTTAATTTTAGTGGTTTTATTAATCGGAATCCATAAACCATGACTTTTCTCCAAAGCTCAATATGTATATTTTTAGACTTTTAATGAAAAAATAATGTTGCTATAGATATTATCGTTTAATTAGGATTAAAATATCTAAATATGACTTAAAATTTAAGTTTAATTAAATATTAAACAGTGAATTATTGAGATTCCTTATGGATTTATCATTTGTTGTATGCTCCACCGAATATGAGTAACAAACAATAGAAGGGCTAATGCTTTTCGAGTTCTTAAATTAATAATTTATTTATCTATTACTTCAGTTTTTGCTATATTATTGGCAATTAGGTTTCTCTCTTTTTTTCTTTATTATTGGCAATATTTATTTATCAAAAATATTAAGGCTCTTTAGGGTTTTGATCTATATATTAAGGTAGAATTCTTTCTCATATGTATCGCCATATAATATGAATAATACAGGGCCTGTAGGACTTTTTGAGTTCTTTAGACAATATTAAGGTAGAATCCGACCCGTTATCATTCCCCAAACAAGAGCCCACCTTCTCTTTCACAGAATTCAGCCAAGCCCACTGTACGAGACCGGGACACAAAACAGGCTCGAACCGGTTGTCTAATGGGTCCCATTGTTTTAAACCAATAGAAGGGAGATATTTGCTGTTTGGTGCCGCGACTAAGACACAGGAGCCGAACTCCATCGTGGAAGAGATGATGCCGCTGTGGTGACCGTCCGATGAGCAAGCTTGATATGATGCGAAGTAACCCGTGGAAAGGGAGATCACCGCGATGACGTCACAGATGGTTTCGCTCGACTCGAGCTCGACGAGAGTCGATTACTGTTCTTTCGCAGATCTGGTCAACTAATATACGGGTGACTTTGATCAGGAGTTTGCCGTCTGGCTTAAAGCAGGCAACAGCTTTCTGCCATCACTTCGTAACCAGGGCCCCACTCCAAGAAAGATGTGTCGACTATCCGAAAAGCTGAAACCTGCCTGGCCTTCGAAAGTTGATCCAGCAAATTATGTGAGCTGATTGCCACGCCGTGCATGGCCGCCATCTGTCCCTTCGTCCTCATCCCGCGAATCTGCTATATACACCCCTCACCGGCGTTCCGCTTCCCGATTCCGAAGCTACGCCGTCGTGGAACATGGCTCGTCAGCTGGTCCCTGCCTTCGCCTACACCGCCGTCTACGTCAAGGACGCCGCTAGGTCCGTCGCCTTCTACTCCGACGCCTTCGGCTACAAGGTCCGCCGCCTCATGCGCCGCCACCTTCGACTCCTCCGTCGCTATATTAACCGTCTCTTTGATGGTGAGCAGGTGGGGGAAGTTGGAGAGCGGGCAGACGACCATCGCGTTCACGCCGTTGCACCAGAGGGAGACGGACGAGCGGACGGGCGCGGTCCGAACGCCGGCACGGGAGGGGGAAAGATGCCCCGTCGAGGTCTGCTTCGACTACCCCGACGTTGATGCGGCCTACAAAAGGGCGGTGCCGGTGAGCCCTCCCGAGGTGAAGGAGTGGGGGCAGAAGGTGGGTTACGTGCGGGACATGGACGGCATCGTCGTGCGCATGGGAAGCCATGTGGGGGACGGCACTTCTCATGTATGAAACCTCAGCTCACAACAGCAGCAGAAGCAGAGGAAGTGCGTGTTTGACTTCTGGTAGTGATTCTGCGTGGATCAGAGACGAAATAATTGAGGGGGTTGAATCCGAGATACTTTGTTTTATAGGCTCAAATATGTATTGATTGTGCCTACAAAATAATTACATAGAAGAAGGAGATCTGTAACTCCTCTTGAATCCTATATCAAAATAGGAGCCAGGCAAAGGAACAACATTTTTCGTAAGAGTGGGGAAGCCGGTCGGTGACACAGAGTTGCAGGAGGAGTTCCACATGACAAAGATGAACTTTCACTTCATACGTTTCTTCCTACGATACAATCGAGTTAGTAAACAACATGATCACCGTCCAAGACACACCAAGTTACTGCCCGTCAAGTCAACATGAGTTCATTGGCACCAAGATGAGGAGGGCGCATGCACACATGAACCTCATGTTCTTCGGGTCCGGCGCTGCGTTTAGGCACCATGATCTCCAGAACTGTTCCGGATTCATCGTAGTAAGCTTCCAGCTTAGCATCTTCAGGAATCCGGGTTGCTAGTGGTATTTCTCTCACAAATTCCCCCGGAGGGCAATGCTCAGGAGAAGGATCCGTGAGCCGGAATGTTCGATCGTGTCGTTTTATGTAAGGCATCCGAGCAATGCTGACACAGGAGATCTTGACTATCCCATGTGTCAGGCTGTTCCTCCATGATACCTTCACCCGCTGCTGATCGGAGAAAGGCAAGCTGACCATGATCAAGTACCCTTCTTCATCCTCGTAGATCGTCTTTGCAGCAGTCACCGGGCCGCACGCATGCCTCATTACACCAGTGAACTCAGTCACCCATGATGGCTCCGTCGCATGAACTTCCATATCTTGAGGCCTATCTGACAATGGATTGCCGGACGAGCAACAATCCTCGGACGCCCCATGGGAAATGAAGTCTTTCCTGCGCTTGCTGTAGACCGGTGAAAGGTCCATGCAATCTCCACCTGCATGATTCGATGGCTGGGTGGAGAGGTTAAGACCCGAACCATTTAGCACCTTCCTCGAATTGGGATGCGCTGCAGTCTTGAGAGGAGGAGGGGGAGGTCTCTCGAGCTCAAAATCCGTGCTTGGGAGGTTCCTCCATGACTCGAAATCGCTAGCCTCGGCTGGGATCGAGAAGTTCAAGTTCCTGCCGGTGAGCTCGGCCCACTTTTTGCGGTCGGCCTCTGTTATCACCGAGAGGTTTGGCGACCGAACCACTTCGATCCCATGGACGCACTGGGGGTTGGAAAGCCCCCTGTACTGCTTCCTCTGCATCCGGTGGGATCGCACGAATCCCTTGTCAACGCTGAAAGGGAACTGAGGTTCCCCTTGGCGCGAGTGGCCGTTCATGTAACTCCGCAGCTGCATCTTCCCCAACGCGTTCTCCGGCCGCTCCTTGAAGACCCACATGTACATGTTCTCCATGTCGTGCTGGACGAGGAAGACATCGAGGCGGAGGTCGGACTTGTCGAGTTCTGCGTCGCGGACGACGACCTTGCCCTTGGACTTCTCCGCCAGCACGGGCTTGAAGTAGTAAGTGAAGAAAAACCACGCGCCCCATATGCTGTCCCCTCTCTTGGCGCACTTACGGGCCCCGGCGGCGCCGCCGGTGCCACCCACCTTGGGGAGGTTGAGAACGGCATCATGGTCGTAGATCTGGGGACCCAGGCCGACGTCCAGTATGTCCATAGGGTCAGGGTCCCAGGGCTGCTGCGGAGACGACTGGTCGACCAAGAGCGGGAGATTGATGTCGGGCGGGCAGGAGAGGACGGACTGCTGTCGCCGCTGGATGTTGGAGATCTCGTGGTCGCAGTCATTGTGGGCGGGGACCGTCGCCGGCGGCGGCCCGGCGGGGTCCATGGAGAGGACGGTGGAGGGGGGATGGGGGTTCTCCATAGTCAGGGTGGTGAGGATGGAGTCTCCCATGGCGTGGTCTCGCTCGCTCCTCTCCATCTCTTCCTCCGCCCACTCACCTCCTCGCCTCTTCCAGTCCTATCTAGGGTTGGAGATCCACGGAACATCCCATAGACGGTCCTTTACAGCTCAGTTCCATAAATCCCACCATCAAATCTCTAATAAACCAAATCAAATCCTTTTCCCAACTCCAACCACTTCCTCTCACCAAAACAAGAATGCCCAAGAACAAGGGGAAAAAGTCGAGATTTTTACGAATAAAGCATCAAAACCGCTCGAGAGAGGGGACGGGAGCAAATTGGAGGGATCTGCTTCAGGGGTTACCTTTCGGAGCTCGAGGGAGAAGGAGAGGGTTTGAATCGTGGAAGAAGAGAGCAACCTCGACGCTTCCGCAGCGGTCGGCGCCTGCATTCGTGGTGTGGCTGATGAGAGAGAGAGAGAGAGAGAGAGAGAAGAGGCCGAAACGGTGACGGGTCCGTTAAAAAAAGCCGGGGTTGGGTCGGGGTCTCCACCGGATGAGGCCGGGTTATGACGTTAGTTGACGGTGACGGCAATGTGGTGAGTTGTCAGTTTGTCAATGTATCCGATCCTGATCCGATTCGTATATGATAAGGTGGATAGATTATGAGACTTTGATTCCCTATGAAGACACGTACCTCATTAATGTTTAAATAATAATAATTTTATTATAATTTTAATTAAATAATACCTTATATGTATAATATAAGCATGATAGGAATATATGAAACACGGTTCACATCCATGATATGATATGACGAATCACACTAGCGATGGATCGCCTTTGCATTCAAAGTTTGAACAGTATTTTATGTCCAAGGATGGAGTTGATTTGGTCTCTTCTTCTTTTTTACTTTACTTCGTGCGAAGAGAACCTCCCTCCTCATATTAGACTATGTCAAGAAGTTATTAAGTTAATGAGAGTGACTAAAATGTTAGATTATATAATCATATTTAATTAGATAAAATATGTTATTAATATAATTATTTTTATATTATAATATTAATTTAGGATAGAATTTTTAAGAAAATAACTTTGATGAGAGGGACACTTTTAATTAATTTTCATTTATTTTCTACGTTCACCTATAAATCGATGAATTAAATACGATACGAGATCTATTTTTAATCTCTCTTAGTCTCTATTCCATCACTTATAATAATCTTATGAATGACTGAAAAAAAAAAAAAAACGTAATCTTGATCTTGATCCATTATTATTTTATTTTAGTTCTTAGCATTAAATTTTTTATATAATTGTAGCATGATTAAAAATTTATGTTTACAATTTGTATTAGACGTTGTTGTTTTGAAATTAAATATATTACATCATAAAAGTATATCAAATCTATTTTATTTATAAACACCCTTTACTTGTACAAATATTATATTCAATTTTGTTTGTATGATGTTTAAACAATCAATCTGTGTTATCAATTTATTTTCTTATCTCGTTCGTCTTATCACCTACGTACGAGCGATGATGCAAGATAGGTAGAGTCGGGGATGACATGTTGGCAATATTTGATCAGTGGACTATCATTGATAATTTACTATCGACGACAAGACTATTGAGAGCGACGACCTCTATTGGTCAATGACCATAGACTAGACAACCAACTGCTACAGTGAGTGGCTATTGTGTACAAAAACATAGATGATATTCTTTTTTATGTCAGAGTTAATAACAAAATCTAAAAGGGT